GGAAAACAATACCATTTATAATAATCCCTAAAAAAAATAAAGTACTTAGAAATAAATTTAACCAGGGATGTAAAAGACCTATACAAAGAAAACTATAAAACACTACTGCAAGAAACCAAAAGAGAGCTACATAAATGGAAAAACATACTATGTTCATGGATAGGTAGACTCAACATTGTGAAAATGACAATTCTACCCAAAGCAATTTACAAATACAACGCAATCCCGATCTGAATACCAACAACATTCTTTAAAGAGATGGAAAAACTAATCATTAACTTTATATGGTAAGGGAAGAGGCCCTGGATAAGTAAAGCACTACTGAAGAAGAAGAATAAAGTAGGGGGACTCACACTACCTGACTTCAGAACCTACTATACAGCTATGGTAGTCGAAACAGCCTGGTACTGGTGCAATGACAGATACATTGATCAATGGAACAGAACTGAGAACTCAGATGTAAATCCATCCACCTACTGTCACCTGATCTTTGACAAGGGTCCAAAGTCCATCAAATGGGGAAAAGACAGTCTCTTTAACAAATGATACTGGCAAAACTGGATATCCATTTGCAAAAAAATGAAACAGGACCCATATCTCACACTATACACTAAAACTAATTCAAAATTCAAAGACCTAAATATAAAACCAAAACTATAAAGATCATAGAAGAATAAATAGGATCAATGCTAGAGACCCTAATACATGGCATTAACAGGATACAAACCATAACTGACAACACACAAACTCCAGAAGATAAGCTAGATAACTGAGATCTTCTAAAAATTAAACATTTATGCTCATCAACAGACTTCACCAAAAGAGTAAAAATAGAACCTACACACTGGCCAAAAATTTTTGGCTACGACAAATCCGACAAAGGTCTAATCTCTAAAATCAACAGGAAAATCCAACACCTCAACAATAAAAAGACTAATAATCCAATTAAAAAGTGGGCAAAGGAAATGAACAGACACTTCACCAAAGAAGACATTAAAGTGGTTAACAGACACATGAGGAAATGCTCTGGATCACTAGCCATTAGAAAAATGCAAATCAACACCGCAATGAGATACCATCTCACCCCGACATTACCGGCACAAATTAAAAAAACAGGAAATAACAAATGTTGGGACAGGCTGTAGGGAGACAGGAACTCTTATGTACTGTTGGTGGGAATGCAAAATGGTACAACCATTCTGGAAAATGATATGGCACTTCCTTAGAAAGCTAGAAATAGAAATCCCGTATGATCCAGAAATCCCACCCCAGGAATATATCCTAGAGAAATAACAGCCGTCACACGAGTAGAAATACGCACACCCATGTTCACTGCAGCATTGTTCACAGTAGCAAAAAGATGGAAACCTAGATGCCCATCAACAGATGAATGGATAAACAAACAATGGTACATACACACAATGGAATACCATAAATACAATAAAGAACAATGATGAATGTTCGAAGAATCTCATAACATGGATGAATCTGGAGGGCATTATGCCAACTGAAACAAGTTAATCACAAAAGACAAGTACTGTATGAGACGACTACTATAAAAACTCATGAAAAGGTTTACACACAAAAAGAAATAATCTTTGATGATCAGGAGGGAGGGGAGGGCTGGGGATGGAAAAACACTAAATAGGTAAGCGGCAGGTAAGTGGTAACTTTGGTGAAGGGTAAGACAGTACACAATACTGGGGAATCCAGCACAACTTGTACAAGGCGAGATCATGGAAGCTCCATAGACACATCCAAACTCCCTGAGGAGCCAAATTACTGGGCTAAGGGCTGTGGGGGCCATGGCCTCAGGGAATATCTAGCTCAATTGGCATAACATAGTTGATAAAGAAAATGTCCTACATTCTACTTAGGTGTGTAGCTTCTGGGGTCTTAAAAGCCTGTGAGCAGCCATCTAAGATACTCCACTGGTCTCATACCTTCGGGAGCAAGGGAGAATGAAGAAAACTAAAGACACAAGGGAAAGATTAACCCAAAGGACTAATGGACCACAACTACCATGGTCTCCACCAGACTGAGTCCAGTACCAGTAGATGGTGCCTGGCTACCACCGACTGCTCTGAAAGGGATCACAATAGACGGTCCCGGGCAGAGCTGCAGAAAAATGTAGAACAAAATTCTAACTCACAAAAAAAGACCAGACTTACTGGTCTGACAGAGACTGGAGAAACTCCGGAGTATGGCACCCGTACACCGTTTTAGCTCAGTAATGAAGTCACTCCTGAGGTTCACCCTTTAGGAAAAGATTAGACAGGCCCATAAAACAAAACAAGACTAAAGGGCACACCAGCCCAGGGGCAAGGACTAGAAGGTAGGAGGGGACAAGAATGCCAGTAATAGGGAATCCAAGGTCGAGAAGGGAGAGTGTTGACATGTCGTGGGGTTGTTAACCAATGTCATAAAACTATATTTGTACTAACTGTTTAATGAGAGGCTAGTTTGTTCTGTAAACCTTCATCTAAAGTACAATAAACAAAAAATTTTTTTAAATTACTAAAAATCAAAAAAGCCAAATTGTTTCAAAATAGGGGATTGGGGATTGGTTACTTAAATAATGGTATATTCATGCAACAGAATGTTATGAGGTCATTAAATTAAGGTTATAAGAGAAAATAGAAGATGTCAACGTACTTATACAATAGTAAGTATAAAATATTGTAAAATGTGTACAGTGATTTCATAAAAACTATATACATACATCACAGATAATGCCAGATGCCCCCAATATCCATTCTCCCCTTCTTTTCTAGTAAAATAACTCAAATTTAATTTATAAGAGCAATACACTCACCTCAAAGACTACATTTCCCAAATACCTTACAGCCAGATGTAGCCAATGAGATATAAGCAGATTTATTATGTGGGACTTCTGGGAAGGCTTTTTAAAGGGAACTGGCTACAAGAGATGCCCTTTTTGTCCTTCTGCCTTTCCTTCTTCCTGCTATCTGGAAAGCAAATGTCATGTTTGGAGCTCCATGAGCCATCTTGGACCATGAAGAAAACTTCAGGAATAATATCCTGGCTAGGATGGGAAAGCTGAAAGATGAAAGGAGTCTAGGTCCCTGATAATACTATGCCACCACTATACCATCTTTAGATTGCCTTCTCCAGATTTCTGTTATATAAGAGTGAAATAAACTTCTCTCTGATTTAAGCCATTAAATATAGTATAGGATTCATAAGAAGTGGCTGGAAAGGTATACTGAGGCCAGACTGTGAAGCCCTTTATGTATTAACTTATATATTAACTAATTTATACAATGTAGAGTAATCAAAGTTTTGAAGAAGGGGAGAGACAAGGTCCTTGCTTTAGAAGATCACCGTGGTGGTGGTGGTAAAGAAGAAAATACGCCTAGGAGGCTACTGCAAAGGGTGAAGCAAGAGCTGATAAGCTGAAGAGAGCCTTGACCACGGCAGGAGGCACGGGAATGAAGAAATGGTAAGCAATGAAAGAAACGGTATGGAGAATCAACAGATCTAAACCAGCTGGTATTACTGTTTATAAGAGACTTAAATCTCTGTTCTGAAATTCTAAAATAGTGGTTCCCAAATTTCAGTCTACAGATGTATGCCAATCCATGACAAAATTTTTACTGATATACACCAAAATGAGAAAAGTAAGAACAATACCTAGTAAGACTGCCAAATACCCTTTCTTCTAAAGGATGGTCCTTATTTTGAGATTATGTACTTTATACTTTTTGTGTTAATATGTCCTTTTATAAAATAGTGGTGATAGTAGTTCTTTTTTTTTAAATCATAGCACAACAACATTAAAAGCTGTCAAATCCATGTCAAACATGACCAGTATTCCATATGTTATTCGTGTTATTGTATTATTCCACTTATTTTAAAAAATCTTTATTTTGTCAGTAGTAACTAATGGAATTCAGATCCTTTCCTTTGAAAAACCAGGGCCTTTCTAACTGCTGGTAAAAAAAATATACCTATCAGCAAGATAACAAAGAAAAATATTCCCATCTCCCCTAAAGCTGAAGAGAAAAACAATATTCTACATTATAAAACTGTCTTTACAAATGTTATTTCCAATAAAGGAATCTTTTAAGTTATCAGACTTCAGAGACTGTTACCATGTTTGTGAAAATAACCTTTTACTTCCAAAATGTCTGTAATTCTTTTACTTAATAAAAGAATAGCAGTGGTCTTCCTAAATAATGTATTGCCCTGGTAGTATTATTTAAATTGAGATCTATTTTCTTGTGTTGTTATTGTTAGTTGTCATCAGTCAAATCTAACTCACAATGACCCTGTGTGTGCAGAGTAGAACTGCTCCATAGGGTTTTCAAGGCTGTGACCTTTCAGAAGCACATCAGCAGACCTGTCTTCTGAGGCACCTCTGGGTGGGTTCAAACCGCCAATCTTCCAGCTAGTAGTTGAGTGCTTACCCATTTGTATCACCCAGGGACTCCTAAGATTAATAGCAATAGGTTTTGAAAAAATTCTACTTGGGTTTATTTTAATGCTATTTAAGAGTTTGAAGTTCAAATGCATTAGCCATTTTAAGATTAGTTTACTGTTTAATTTCTGTAAAGATATTAGTTTTAATGAATATTACATGTTAAAGAAAAATTATTTTTCAACGTTTTTTAAAAAAACATTTTAAAGTCTATCAGACTCTTAATTTTTTTAAAACCAATCTATAAATACACATTTATTCCAAAGGAAGTGCCTGGACTTATAGACATAGATGTAGAGATAGAGATAGAGAGGTATGAATGTAGATCTAGATCTTGAATAACAAAAAGATCCTTAAACCCCAGAGAATGTCTGACACTTTGAACCATAAATTATATTAAAAAATTTTAATACACACAAAGACTATGGTCAATCTTACGGAGTTTGCCGTGCTTTACTAACTACTAAGTAGGAAGAAGTGTCTTAATCCCTTAGTACAACAGTAGGATATAGTGCTTACATATTAGACTACATAAATACTTACACACTAGAATACTTACATAGTAGAATCTCTTTCTTGAGGCAAGGTTGCCTCAAGTGAAGCTGAAGCAGCAGAAGGGGACCTAGGATACAATCTATAACCTTCACTTGGAGCAATTATCTGCCTACCCAGAATCCTTCAAAATGAAGAAACATAGAGACAAAATTAAGCACCTTTACCTGGCAACTACATACACAATCTAGGTATTTTTGGAATAAACTTCATGGTTCTATAGAGAAGTCCAGTACATACTTAGTTTGATACTGATTAAGAATGATTCTTCAAAAAAAAAAAAAAAAAAAAAAAAAAGAATGATTCTTCAGAGAAATGTGAATCCAGAGCCTTATTACTCTCTTCCAAAGAATGGAGATGGAAAGATAAATCTCCAGCACCAGGAGATAAAAAAAATTCAGGAAAACTGAGTAACAGTTCTTTAATTTGCCCTCCATCCTCTATAATAATTTTCACTATATCAGCCAAAATGGAGTGAAGGCCAGACTAAATTAGTGAAAACTGAATTACATTCTTAAGAACTTGAACTTTATAAATTTTAAGTATGTGCAGCGAGTGGCACTGATATAGTTCCAAAGAGAAGCTCCCTAACAGCCTATGTCTGCTTTTAAGTACACATAAGAATTTACTTGTAGACAACAGTGCAAACAAGTACATTTTCTGACCACCTTGTTTAGAAGAACTCTTTGGACAGCCACAACACACAGATCTCAGCTTCAGGTACAGAAACTGTTTTATTCGATTACGAAGACATATTGGTAGCTATGGAAACTCCAACAAACTTCTACCAACTTGAGTTTTCTCTCAACTGATGTTTTATACAACAATGGCCTTTTTTACGTTCATTAAAACTATGTCATTCAAGGGGGAAAAGGCAGGAGGCGACAGGAAAGCTGGTAATGGGGAACCCAAGGTTGAGAAGGGGAGAGTGTTGACATGTTGACCAATGTCACAAAACAATATGTGTATTAATTGTTTAATAAGAAACTACGTTGCTCTATAAATCTTCATCTAAAGTACCATAAAAAATATTATAAGCTATGAACAATAAATTTAAATCAGCATCGTCCAAAAAAAAAAAAGAGAGAGAGAAATATAACAACAAAAAACTATGCCATAAAGATTTCAGAATACAAGGTTTTTTGGAAATCCACTTCATCATCCATGAATACAAGTCAATTCTGGGGCTTCCCTACCTGAGGTGAGGAAAGCTAGATGTCCACTGTTGGCACTCTTCTTGAAGACTCTTCGTATGTATGCTCAACTTCTTCTCATACAAGAGATCATCTATGGCTGTGAACATTGCCTGGACCTTTTCAGTGGCGTTCTGATCAAGTTCCTAGAAGAAAATATCCCCCAAAACGTTTAGGTGGGATTCAATCTCTGTTAAAAATTACAAAGCGTGAAAGCAACTAGATTTTATTTTTTCATATTAAGCCCACTCAAAATATTGTTGAGTTTCCAGGAAAGAAGAGTAAAATTAGTGAGTTCTTAGATCTTATAAATTTTCAGATGTCCTCTCTACACATATTTAAAGAAAATTTATAGATATGTTTATTTTTTTATTTATTTTTTATGACATAGCTGATGTTTCTTAATTCACTAGCACCAGGCATTGGGATATTAAGATTATTTCTTGGCATTTTATCATGAATAACATACTTGCTCTATCATTAAGGCTCTCCCCCCTAACCTTCTGCATCCCCAACCAGACTCTGGTTCTGGATCTTTCTCCCCCAAGTAACATTAAATAAGCTCCAAGTCAGGGTCAGAGACAAGAGATAGATGAAAAAGAATTGTTCTTACACCTTTCCCCCATGAATTCAAAGAGTCATTTTATTCTACAATGGTCATTTCAGGAGTATCCTTAAACTGGGAGGTATTTTGGCCCAAGGTGGGTGGGGTGGGGGGCTCTGACGCCATAGAACCTGCACATCTCAACTTATAACTCAATAAAAATAAATGACAAAAAAAAAAAAGGGAGCCAGGTGGCTGCCCCGCTCTATGCTAGTGTACTGTATGGGGGCAGCTGCCAGGACCCCGCAGAGGTGATGCTGTACAGAAGCCCCCCAACCCCTACTCCATAGCCCAGGTAGGCCTCCACCTCCGCTCTCTGTCTTCATGTCAGCATGCTTTATCCTGGGACCCAGGAGCCCCACAGGGACCCTTGGGGCCACTCCCTCCCAAGACCCCCTCAGTACCCCCTTTCCATGATATCAAACTGTTTATTTTTTACAAACTAACATTTTCTTCATCATATAAATACTATGTTTATTATATTAGAAAATTCAAAAAGTTACCTAGAATCTCACCAAAGATGACTCCTAAATTTTAGTATACTTATTTGGTTCTAGTATTTTTCTTAAGCATAATGTAGATGGATAATTCTGTATATATTACTTTGTATTGTGCATTTTTCACTTGACAATTTGTTATACACCTGCAATCCATCCTACCCTAGCAGCCAGAGGGATGACTATAAAATGATAATCTGCTGACCTGATTAAGCTCTACTACTGCATCCATGTATATTCATGTATCCTTTTACATTCCTCTGGAAGAACAGTTACACCCTCTTCAAAAAGTGTAAGATGAGAAATATGTACTTCTAATCTAAGAGTGGAAGTCAGCTTCTACCCTGTAAAAAGTGCTTGCTAGGTAGACATGAAGTCTCCCACAAACATATTTTTAAAAATTTTCTGTACTTTTTGTTCTCAAGCTGAAGGGAAGGGGGAGAACTTTCCTAGTCCTAGTGAAACTTGTTATTCTTTCCTATTAAATGCTTTTCTTAAATTCTACTCATACCAGCTTTCTTTTGCTAGTATTGGCATGGTAAAACTTTTCCCATCCCTTTATTTTCAACATTTCGATGTGATTCTGTGTTTGGTATGGTTCTTTAAATAGCATACAGCTGGATTTTTAAAATCCAATTTCAGAGTCTGTCTTTACATAGGTTTTATCTACTTACAATTATTGTAATATTGTGTAATATTTGGCTTATTTTTACCATTTATTTTGTGTTTTCTATTTATCCTGCTTTTTCTTGTATGTTTTTCTCTTTTCCTTCTGTTGCATTGAGTTCTCCTTATTTCCCCTATCAATTAGGAAGTTAATTATGTTTATATTCTACGAGTGGTTATATTTAAAATTTAGCATTCCTAAATAACTCCTTTATTTTTCTAGCAAAGTCTATTAAAAAAAAAAAAAAAAATTATTTCCCCGAATATTGCCTGTTTCGCATTCTCTTTCTAAAATTTCTGTTAGACATATATTGAAGAATCTTAATCCATCTTCCATGTCTCCCTAACTACTCTTCAAATTTTCAGTGTCTTTAGCTTTCTAGTTCAGGTGATCTCCTCAGTGCTATCACTGAATTCACTACTATTCTCTGAGTCAAGTTTACTTAATCCATCTTCCATATCTCCTAACTACTCTTCAAATTACCAATGTCTTTAGCTCTCTAAACCAAAAACACCAAACCCACTGCCATCAAGTCGATTCCAACTCATAGCGACTCTATAGGACAGAGTAGAACTGCCCCATAGGGTTTCCAAGGAGTGCCTGGTGGATTCAAACTGCTGACCTTTTGGTTAGCAGCCATAGCTCTTAACCACTACACCACCAGAGTTTCTGTTTAGTTCTCTAGGTCAGGTAACTTCCTCAGTGCTATCACTGAATTCACTACTATTCTCCATCACTGAGTCAAGTGAACCTTCTCTATTGAGATATATTTCAAATACTATTCTTTTCCAAGATTTTAAACTGGTTCTTCATATCTGTTCTTAAATTAAAATTTCTACCTGTTTTGTTTAAAAACCTACAATAATTTTAATGGATGCTATTCTGTCCCTTATCTTGAGGATTTTAAAAATTTAATCAACTTTATTGAGATATAATTTACATACAATACATACATTTTCAGTGTACAATATAATGAGATTCGAAAAATACATTCACCCAAGTAACTATCATCCCCATCCAGATAGAGAATACTTCCATCACCCCAGAATGTTCCCTCATGCTCCTTCACAGTCAAAGTTCTCCCAAGTCCCCCACACCAGGAAACCACTTACCTGATATCTATCACTATAAATTAGTTTCGTCTGTTCTAGAACTTCATCTAAATGTAATCATGCAGGATGTACTTTTTAGTATTTGGCTTCCATCACTTAGCAGAACATTTTCGAGGTTCATCCATGCTGCTGTATGTATTAGTAGTCATAATTTCTACTGCTGAGAGGTATTTCATTGTAAGGATATGCCACAATTTGTTTACCCACTCAATTGTTGAAGGATATTTGGGTTATTTCTAGTATTTGGTTATTATGAATAAAGCTATTATGAACATTTATGTGTAAGTCTTTTTTGGGGTATATACTTTCATTCCTCTTGGATAAATACCTAGCAGTGGAAATGCTGAGTCATATAATAAACGTATGTTTAATATTATAAGAAATTACTATTTTTCAGAGTGGGCATACAATTTAGCACTCCCATTAAATATGTGAGCATTAAATATGTGTTAAATACGTGTGAGCTTTAAATATGCTCCACATCCTTGCCAATACTAGGTATTGTCAGTCTTTTTAGTTACAGCAATTCTAGTGGATGTAAAATGGTGTATCATGATGGTTTTAACCCTGATGGTTAATGATGTTGGGCATCTTTCTATATACTGCTTAGTCATTCATATATCTTCTTTCATGGAGTGTCTGTTCAGGGCTTTTACCCATTTTTTTCAACTGGTTTATCTGTCTTCTTAATATTGAGTTTTAAGAGTCCTTTATATAGCCTGGATATAAGTCCTTGGTCAGATACGTGTGTTAAGAGTATTTTCTCCCAGTCTAGGGCTTCTCCTTTCATTTTCTTAATGGTGTATTTGAAAGTGCAAAAGATTTTATTTTGAAATGAAATGAAATTTGCAAATTTTTTATGGCTCATTCTTTTGGTGGTGTCAAATGAATGAACTCTTTGCCTACCCAAGGTCTTGAAGATTTTTGCATATATTATCTTCTAAAAAATTTATAGCTTTATCCCTTGTATTTAGCTTTATAATTCATTCTGAGTAAATTTTTTGTATGATGTGAGGTAAGGATCTAAATTAATCTTTCTGCATATGGCTATCCAATTGTCCCAGTAATATTTGTTGAAAAAAAGATCCTTTCCCTGTTGAATTGCCTTGGTACCTTTGTTAAAAATCAATTGATCGTAAACATAAAGATTTATTTCCGGATTCTAATTCTGTTCCATTGATCTATATGCCTATTCTTATGTCAGCACAACACTGTTTTAATTATCACAGCATTATATTACATTTTGAAATGGGGTAGTCTATAAGTCCCTTAGCTCTGTTCTTCTGTTTCAAACTGTTTTATTAATCTGGGTCCTTTACAATTCCATTTTAGGATAAGCTGATCAATTTCAACAAGAAAAAAAAAAAAAAAAAGCCTGCTGAGATATTGCTAGGTATGCACAAACGCACTAAGTATACAGATCAATTTGGGGAAAACTGCCATCTGTCTCTTCATTTATTTAGATTTCCTTTAATTTCTCTCAGGAACGCTTTATATTTTCAGTGTACAAATCTTGCATATTTTTGTTCTACTGTGAATTGAATTAATTTTCAGATTGCCCATTGCTAATTTATAGAAATTGGTTTTTTATTTAGATATAATTCACATACCATAAAATTCACCCTTTTATAGTACATCTGATTCCAGAAACTTTCATCAAATGTTCAACCACCTACACATTCCTGGGATAAATCCCATTTGGTCAGAGTAAATAATCCCTTTCTGTTGCTAGATTTGGTTTGCTAATAAGTTAAAGTTTTTGTATCTATGTTCAAGACACATACTGGTTTGTAGTTTTCTCTTCTCGTAATGTCTTTGTCTGACTTCAGTATCAGAGTTAATGCCTCATAGAATGAGTTAGGAACTGTTCCTCCCTCCTCCATTTTCTGAAAGAGTTTGTGAAGGATTGGTATTATTTCTTCTTTAAATATTTATGTGTATAAAAAACTACAATTGATTTTTGTATATTGACCTTGTATCCTGTGGCCTTGTTAAACTCGTTCATTAGTTCTAATAGTTTTTTGTGGCTTCTTTAGGATTTTTTACATATAGAATTCTTTTCTTGTGATATCTTTATCTGGCTTTGGTATCTAGACTCATAGAATGAGTTGGGAAGTGTTCCTCCTCCATTTTTTGAGTTTTTGAAAGACTGTTACTATGTCTTCTTTAAATTTTGATAGAAAAATAAATCAATAAATATTTGATAGAATTTACTAGTGAAGCTATCTGCACTAGTTTCCAAGAGTGAAACTTTAGTGGCTTAAAACAGAAATTTATTCTCTCACAGGTAACTATCTTTCTGGTATTCTCTGCTTTCAGCCAGGATCCACCTGACATCAGCAATGATACCCCTGGTTCCACATCCTCTTCTGAATCTGGCCTGAATTTCTGGCAGTTCCCTGGCAATATACTGCTGCAGTTGCTTTTGAATGATCTTCAGAAAAATTTTACTTGCGTGTGATATTAAAGATACTGTTTGATAATTTCTGCATTCAGTTGGATCACCCTTCTTAGAAACAGGCATAAATGTGGGTCTCTACCAGTCAGTTGGCCAGGTAGCTGTCTTCCAAATTTCTTGGCATAGATGAGTGGGCACTTCCAGCACTGTATCCGTTTGTTGAAACATCTCAATTGGTATTCCATCAGTCCCTGAAGCCTTGTTTTTTGCCAATGCCTTCAGTGCAGCATGGACTTCTTCCTTCAGTACCACTGGTTCCTGATCATATGCTACCTCCTGAAATGGTTGAACATTGACTAATTCTTTTTGGTATAATGAGACACTGTGTATTTCTCCTATCTTCTTTTGATGCTTCCTGCGGCATTTAATATTTTCCCCATAGAATCCTTTAATATCACAACTCGAGGCTTGAATTTTTTCTTCATTTCTTTCGGCTTGAGAAATGCTAAGCATGTTGTTCTCTTTTGGTTTTCTATCTCCAGGTCTTTGCACATGTCATTATAATACTTTACTTTGTCTGCTCGAGCCACCCTTTGAAATCTTCTGTTCAGTTCTTTTACTTCATCATTTCTTCCTTTCGCTTTAGCTACTCGATGTTCAAGAGCAGGTTTCAGAGTCTCTTCTGACATCCATTGTGGTCTTTTCTTTCTTTCCTGTCTTTTTAATGGCCTCTTGATTTCTTCGTTTATGATGTCCTTGATGTCATTCCACAAGTCATCTGGTCTTCAGTCATTAGTGTTCAATGCATCAAATCTATTTATGAGATGGTCTCTAAATTCAGGTGGGACATACTCAAGGTCATACTTTGGCTTTTGTCAACTTGTTCTAATTTTCTACTTCAACTTGAACTTGCATATGAGCAGCCAATGGTCTGTTCTGCAGTAGGCCCCTGGCCTTGTTCTCACTGATGATATTGAGCTTTTCCACTGTCTCTTTCCACAGATGTAGTTTGATTCCTGTGTATTGCATATGGTGAGGTCCATGTGTATAGTTGCCATTTATATGGTTGAAAAAAGGTATTTGCAATGAAAAAGTCATTGGTCTTGAAAAATTCTATCATGCAATCTCCAGCATTGTTTCTATCACCAAGGCCATATTTTCCAACTACTGATTCTTCTGTTTCCAACTTTTGCATTCCAATCACCAGTAATAGTAGTAGACTGGTTACATTCGATGGGATTAACCAAATAAACAAATATATTAAGGATAATGAGAACTAGGTTTCTCACTGTTAGAGAAATGAGTTACAAATATGAAATGGGATAAAACTAGAGTCAACCTTGTCATGTCAGATTGGAATAGAAGGAATATATATATTTCCTAGTTCTGTCCATTGAGATATCCTGGGAACTACTGACACCAGAAAAGCAATGAGCACACTTAGCACCCAAATCTTGGTTTCTAATTACTGTTCTTCACTAAGAGAAACCAGGGCTCCCTGAGGAAGTGGCTGTATCTAGGACTGAGGCAGGGAAAATACAAAATCAGCCTGGAATATCTTGGTGCCAGAAAACTAGTGTTTAAAGAAGGATGAAAACATGTCAAAATGACATAGAAGCCTGCTTGAAAGGGCTTCCACTGGCCAAATGTGGGATAATTTGAGCATCAAAATAAATAATGATAATGGTGGATTATAACCCAATGAATAAAACAGGAATCCATGAGTCCACACTGATGCAAATAAATGAATAAGTGGAAAGTTTGATGAGAAACAAGACAGATAATCTCAAAGTACTTCCCCACAAAATATGTTTTAAATACAAAGGAAAACAGAACAATTAAGGTGGAAGACACCACTTAACTAAGTTATCAAAGTGAATATCATCAATAATGGGACAAATAAAAATTGTGTGCCACCTGATAGAATGCAATGAGAAAAACAAGCTCATATATGTGATACTGCAGATTTAAGAACTGTTCCAGATTGAAGGAGACTAAACAAAAATGATAATGTGAACTGATGTTTGGCTATAAAGGGTATTATTGTGACAACTGCTGAAATTTGAATGGGGTCTGAGGATTAAATGGTAGTAACCTGTCAATTTTAATTTTCTGATTTTGATGGTTGCATTATAGTTACAAGGGCCCTGGTGGCGCAATGGTTAAGAGCTGGGCTGCTAACCAAAAAGGCAGCAGTTTGAATCCACCAGCTGCTCCTTGGAAAGTCTATGGGGCAGTTCTACTCTGTCCTATAGGGTCGCTATGAGTCAGAATCGACTCAACAGCAACAGATTTTTGGTTTTTATTCTAGCTATGTAGGAGAATGTGTTTGTTTGCAGGAAATACTAAAATATCTGGTGTAAGGGGTATCATATTGTAACATACTCTCAATTGGTAAAGGAAAAGAAGATCTTTTTACTAGCAACTTTTCTGTAAGTTTGAGATGATATCAAAATTTTTTAAATTTACTAAATTTATGCAGCAATTGCAACTTTGATCTTAAAACTGGAATTTCATTAACTAAAGATGCAACCTTAGAAACAAAATAATGCATTTCAAAGGAATTATCTACTCTGACATAGCTGTGACTATACCTGCAATGAAATGTTTATTTAATACAAGAAAAAGATCAACAATATTTACAGATTAACAGGAAACCTTGAAAAAAAATCATAATCATTGTACTAAATGTTAAAAAAAAAAAAAAAAACTATTCCTCAAAAAGTTAACTATAGACTTACCATATAACCCAGCAATTTGTCTCCTAGGTATATGCACAAGAGAAATGAAAACATATGCCCACAGAAAAAATTACACACAGATGTTCATAGCAGCATTATTCATAATAGCCAAAAAGTGGAAACTCAAATGTCCATCAACTGATGAAATGATAAACAAAATGTAGTATATCCATACACTGGAATATTATTCCACCATGAAAAGGAAGTAAGTACTGATAACATTCTACACCAATGATAACCCTTGAAAACATTATGGTAAGTGAAAAAAGCCAAGCACATTTTAAACAAGACAACATATCAGTGGTGGAGAGACTACAGATTAGTGGACTAGGCCCAGCAGAAGGAGTGGGTCCACAGCCCGGATCCATATTAACCTACAATTGTTTAAGTCTATCTCTAAGTCACAATAACTACGTCCATAAAACAAAACAAATACTAAAAGAGGGTAAGGATTGATGTTTCTTTACAACTATTATAAGTAGTGGTAAATTTAAGTAATAAAATGTTTAGAAACAATGCGGGAAAGTAAAGGAATGAAATATACTGACAAAACTAGCAAATCATAATATCCAGAACGGTCTCCCAAGCACGCCACCAGATGGATAACATACAACTCACACCATATCCCCAGGAGAAGTCCGAGCTGCCTTCAGTGGAGATTCCTGTGCCTGTATAACTCAGAAATGCAGACCTTGAATTCCCAGTGTCGGCCGATGTAATGGGTGATTCTTGTGTGATGTCAGACTCACTAAATGCATAGTCAGAAGGAGAGAAAACAGAAAACTTTTCATATTTCCTCAAATTTCTGAAGAACTAACTACTCAGCAATTTGTCAGGTGATAACTGTGTGTACTGATATATCCTCAGAGGCAAAAGTAAACAAAGAACTTGAAATTTGAGCATCGTGAAGAAGTCTACCTAATTCCTACAGAATCGATGGCAGTCATTCTAAATAAGTCTAGTAATAGTTTACAATGACTACTTTAACATCCACCTATACACTCCTGACAACTAAAGACATTTCAGAAATGTCAACAGCAGTATCTAAACACTTTTACAGTTTACCAAGCACGTATACAGATACTACCTCATCTGATCCTTGCAACAACCTGTTGATGTAGAACTCAATTAATCCCATTTTTAAAACAAAGAATCTGAGATTTAGTTCCAGGTTTTGAAACCCAGATTTTATGACTCTAAAGTTCTACTATAATAACCTATTCTTAGAGGGCTCTTTTAAGTTACAATCTCCTCTGTACTATTTCTTCAAATAATAAAGGCAGGTAATATTTACTCAACATTTATAATACACCAGCATTGTGCCAAGCTGTACAATACTTTATCTCATTTATATTCACAACACCCTATAAGAGATACTATTATCAAGTACCATATTTTTTTGCAAATAACATGTGTGTTATACTTTTTTTTTTGAAAACTGCACAATCCCCCCACGTGTTATTTTCATACGTACACTATGCCAATTTTTTTTTACATGTTGCTAACTTTGACTGACACTAAGAAGACATAATTAAACTAACTTAGTGGAGCCCTGGTGGCGCAAGTGGTGAAGCATTTGGCTGCTAACCAAAAGGTCAGCAGTTCAAATCTACTAGCTGCTCCTTGAAAACTCTATGGGGGTAGTTCTACTCTGTCCTATAGGGTCACCATGAGTTGGAATCAACTCTACAGTGACAGGTTTGGTTTGGTTTTTTTGGTAACATAACTTAATGGTTTCACTTAAGATGATCTGGTAATCTTCTTGCATTAGACTGTTGAGCTAATGCGCTATAATTATCAACTTTAATAGAAACAAACGCACAGTTTTGATTGCTTTTCCAGTTACTGGGGTACTACCAAACTCGGTCCATGACTTCTTGACCAGGGCTTATATCTTTATTATACAATTATGACCAAAAGTAACATTTTCAGGCTGTTTTTATACGAATAAGCAGGAGATTAAAGAAAATGAACAGAACAAACGAAAATGAACAGAATCTTGTGATGTACGTGTAATATGGGAGGACGAGTGAATGAGGCCAAAATTCACTTCTGGAAATGTCATGAGACGTGTGTGGTATACGCATGGGTGTGCTGTGCCAAAACTGTTTTACTTAATTTCATCATTTCTGCACATTATATGTGCAGGTGTGTTATTTAGGTGGGGGCATTATTTATGAAAAATACAGTAACTTGCCCAATGTTACTCAGCTAAGTAAGTGGCAGAGCCAGGATTATAAATCAGATGTCAGACTCCTCCTGAATCTATGTTTTTAACTACTTCAAAAAACTGCTTCTCAAAAGTTATGAAAATAAGTATGATGTTATTGCCATTACCTATTCCAGAATAAAGTACTGAAAATATGTAATAAAAATTCTTACTTCATTTGTACAATGCTAAGCTAAAAAGCTTGATATCAGTCCTAAGGTAAAAAGCAAAACCTGTGCCATTAGCAAGAGCAATAAGCAAACAAGTACACTGTGTTACTACCTTTGGGAACATGTGTCTTTTTCATGGCTGTCATTAGTGGAGGAAATTTCACCCAGTCGCTCTGGGAGGGGATGATGATGAAGAGCACGCTGCGTTAGTTCTTTCCTGTGAAAGATAAGAGAAAGTTATATTTCCTGTAAAGAAAAAATACATACTTTTCAGTAACTGGATCTAGAAGTCAGTTACCTACTTTCTGCTGCTCTAGAACTGCAATGTCCAATACGGTGGCCACCAGCATTTAAAATGGGGCTAGTCAGAACTGAGATGTGCTTTAAGTGTAAAATATACTGGATTTCAAAGTCTTAGTACAAAAAGAAGAAAAGTATAATATCTTATTAATTTTATCTCCACTCAGCTTTTGAGCCTAGGGGGGACCAGCTCATCATGGAACTGTTCTTGTTGTTTGCTGTCTGCATTCTGTGAGTAATAAAATGGTCTTAATTTGCCAACACATTAGGAGTGTCTTGTGCGTACAACTCAAACGGACTACATGGGCGTAGCACCCGTAGATGGGTTGATGCTACTGGTTGGGGTCCTCATCCTAGTAGTCTTGTAGATGCTTGAGATCTTAGGATTGCCTCTGAGACAACCTGCATGTGCAGCACAGGAGTGAAGTACTGATACATGCAACTACTTGAATGGATCTCAAGGGCATCATGCTTAGTGAAAAAAGCCAATCTCAAAAGGTTATATGCTGTCTGATTCCATTTATATAATACACCTACTCCTCACTTATCGACTATCTCATTATCTGACATTTTGCATTTACAACAATAGTAAAAAAGCTACTATCGACTATTTTGCATATTAATGACATTCGTCTGGCATCAAAGAATGCCAAGGGGCAACGCAAGAGTAATATTGGCTGTGATGGTTAAGGTTATGTGTCAGCTCGGCTGGGCCATGATTCTCTGTGGTTTGGCAGTTATGTAATGATATAATTTTACAGTTATGTAATAATGTAGTAATCCTCCATTTTGTGATCTGTTGTCCTCCATTTTCACGTAACACAGATTTTTGCATAATGACCTGTTCTTTGGAACTTAACCATAATCGATAAGTGAGGAATGAGTGTATTCACAAAACAACAAAACTATAGAGGTGGAGATCCGTGGTTACCAGAGGATAGAAACAAGAATGAGGGTTGGTGCAATTATAAAAGGCTATACAAAAAAGTTCCTTGGTGTGATGGAATAGCTCTGTGTTTTGACTGTGGTGGTGGTTACATAAATCTATAAATGGAATCAGATTGTATAGAACCACACACAAATGCACACATAAATGAGTACGTATAAAAACTAATGAAAACTGAATAAAGTCTGTAGTCATACCAATATCAGGTTCCTAGCTTTGATATTATACTATAGTTAAATAAGATGCATCATTGGGGGAAGCTGGGACTCCATGCACTATTTTTGTAACTTCCTGTGAGTCTATTATTATTTCAAAATAAAAAGTTTAAAAAAATGCATTTTGAAAGGAAGACTCAGTGCTTAGGGGACACTGAGCTTCTGTTAAGGGTGATGGTACAATTTGAGAATGTATAATGGTGATGGTTGAACAACATGAAATATAATTAATGTCACTGAACTGTATATATGAAGATTGTTTAAATGTCAAATGTTTTGTAATGTGTATATTTACCACAATTTAAAAAGCTAACTTCACTTGTTTCTACTTTTTTTTTTTAATGTGGCTACTAGAAATTTTAAAATTACATATGTGGCTTCTATTTCTATTGGACAGTTCTGCTCTAGAAAGTTCAGTATCTACACTGGAATAAATCATAAGGTCAATTATCATATGGTCCAGTCCTAAGCACTGAAAGTAGGCTTTTCCTTCCCCACAAAATTCTATAGTATAATAAATTTAGAAAACAGGTTAAACAAAGTTACATACGGTTCTTTATTATAGGTCTTCCCAGGGCCTTTACTATGCAAATGTATGTTATAAATTTCTAATACTCTTATTTCAAAGGAAAGGAAACTGAGGCACAGATAGGTTTTATAACCTGTTTAAGGGCATATGGCTAGTAAGTGATGGGGCCAGGATTCAAATCCAAGTAGTCTGGCTATGAAGCATCACAAAGCAAATGAATATTTTGAGTGTTTAGTGAATTGTACTGTTCTTGTATATAAAGAAAAAATTAAGGGCCCAGTCAGTGAAGCTTGCACTTTAAATTATTTCTCTAATGCTGGGAATGGGTTTGTGCAGAACTATACGTACATCTCTTACCCAGTGCTTCTAGAACAAAAAACTTATCTTTGAGATAGTGTTAGGGATCAAAGATATGGACTCCAATGATGAAACAGACTTAAGACATTTTCTTAGACTACCAAAGAAATCTGATTATAAACTGAGAATTAGTTAATATAAGGAAATATTACTAAATTTGATCATAGCACTGTGGTCACATAAGAAACTATCCATAATTTTTAGAGATGCATACTGAAGTATACACCAGTAAAATGATAGTGCCTGGGGTTTTGCTTTCTCTATTTCACAGGTGAGGTACAGAGAAGGTAAGGAAAAAGCTAACAAAGAAGATAGACAAAGCATATATATTAAAATTTTGATAACCGTTGAATATGGGTGATGGGCATATGGGGGTTCATTGTACTACTCTCTATATGGTTGCTTATGTTTGAAATTTTTCATTAAAAAACATTAGGCTGTATGTTGAAAATCACTTTTTCTAAACTCTTTTTAACATCTATAATGTGGAACAGTTAGGGAGAAAACTAAAGCGACTGCCACAAAACAGATCATCATTGTTTTTGTTAGGTGCTGTCAAGTCTGTTCTGACTCACAGTGACTCTACATGTAACAGAACAAAACACTGGCCAGTCCTGCACCATCCTCACAATCGTTGTGATGTTTGAGCCCACTGCTGCAGCCACTGTGTCAGTCTATCTCATTGACAGTTTTCCTCATTATAACACCTAAAATAAAAATTGCTTTGAATTTACTCTCATTTAGATGCATTTTATCTTCATTATCTACATCATTTTGACTCGTCTAGAAAGGAAACTTTTGAGAAAGTTAATTTTTGGGAGTATCAACACCCTTGTGTGGCTGTCAGTCTGTCGTACCGTGGGGGCTTGCGTGTTGCAGTGATGCCAGAAGCTACACCACCAGTATTCAGATACCAGCAGGGTCACCTATTGTGGAGAGGTTTCAGCAGAGCTTCCAGACTAAGAGAGATTAAGAAGAAGGCCCTGGCAGTCTACTTCTGAAAGGAATTAGCCAGTGAAAACCTCATGGATAGCAGTGGAACACTGTCTGATACAGTGTCAGAAGATGAGCCCCTCAGGTTGGAAGACACTCAAAAGATGACTGGGGAAGAACTGCCTCCTCAAAGTAGAGTCGACCTTAGACGTGGATGGAGTCAAGCTTTCAGGACCTTTGTTTGCTGATGCGGCACGATTCAAAATGAGAAGAAACAGCTACAGACATCCATTAATAATCAGAATGTGAAATGTACGAAGTATGAGTCTAGGAAAATTGGAAATTGTCAAAAATGAAATGGAATGCATAAATATGGATATCCCAGGCATTAGTGAGCTGAAATGGACTGGTATTGGCCATTTTGAATCGGACAATCATACGGTCTATGCCAGGAATGACAACTTGAAGAGGAATGGTGTTGCATTCATCCTCAAAAAGAACACATGAAAACCTATCAAGAAGTACAACGCTGTCAGTGATAGGATAATATCCATATGCCTACAAGAAAGATCAGTTAATACAACTATTATTCAAATTTACGCACCAACCACTAAGGCCAAAGATGAAGTAACTGAAGATTTTTACCAGCTTCTGCAGTCTGAAATTGATCGAACATGCAATCAGGATTCATTGATAATTACTGGTGATTGGAAAGCAACAGTTGGAAACAAAGAAGAAGGATCAGTAGTTGGAAAATATAGACTTGGTGATAGAAACGATGCCAGAGATTGCATGACAGAATTTTGCAAGACCAACATCTTCATTGCAAATACCTTTTTTCACCAATGTAAATGGTAACTATACACACGAACCTTCCCAGATGGAATACACAAGAATCAAATTGACTACATCTGTGGAAAGAGATGATAGAAAAGCTCAATATCATCAGTGAGAACAAGGCCAGGGGCCGACTATGGAATGGACCATCAATTACTCATATGCAAGTTCAAGCTGAAACTGAAGTATATCAGAACAAGTGCAGGAAAGACAAAGTACGACCTTGAGTATATCCCATCTGAATTTAGAGACAATCTCAAGAATAGAATTGGCGTGCGTTGAACACTAATGACTGAAGACCAGATGAGTTATGGAATGACATCAAGGACATCATATGTGAAGAAATCAAGAGGCCATTAAAAAGACAGGAAAGAAAGAAAAGACCACAATGGATGTCAGAAGAGACTCTGAAACCTGCTCTTGAACATCGAGTAGCTAAAGCGAAAGGAAGAAATGATGAAGTAAAAGAACTGAACAGAAGATTTCAAAGGGTGGCTCGAGCAGACAAAGTAAAGTATTATAATGACATGTGCAAAGACCTGGAGATAGAAAACCAAAAGAGAACAACATGCTTAGCATTTCTCAAGCCGAAAGAAATGAAGAAAAAATTCAAGCCTCGAGTTGTGATATTAAAGGATTCTATGGGGAAAATATTAAATGCCGCAGGAAGCATCAAAAGAAGATAGGAGAAATACACAGTGTCTCATTATACCAAAAAGAATTAGTCAATGTTCAACCATTTCAGGAGGTAGCATATGATCAGGAACCAATGGTACTGAAGGAAGAAGTCCATGCTGCACTGAAGGTGCTGGCGAAAAACAAGGCTTCAGGAACTGACGAAATATCAATTGAGATGTTTCAACAAACGGATGCAGTGCTGTAAGTGTCCACTCGTCTATGCCAAGAAATTTGGAAGACAGCTACCTGGCCAACTGACTGGAAGAGTCTCATATTTATGCCTATTCCCAAGAAAGGTGATCAAACTGAATGCAGAAATTATTAGACAATATCATTAATATCACATGCAAGTAAAATTTTGCTGAAAATCATTCAAAAGCGGCTGCAGCAGTATATCAACAGGGAACTGCCAGAAATTCAGG